GGCTGGCAACAATGGAAACACGAATCCAATCAAACCATGGTTTGCAGAGACACGCGCCATCACGCTTCAACGTGTCGTGTTGGTTTTGGTGCTGAACGCTTCCCTTGGGTTGCTCCGTGAGAGGCAAGAAACACTTTAGGCTTCACTGACACGATAAAATCTTGGCCGTGACCATGTCGTCCACAAGCACGAGAACCCGTCGTCGTCAACTGTGCTTGACGTACTCGGACGAAGGCGTCAAGACCCGCACCGAAAAGGTTCTGCAAGGCATGCTCTCACAACTGCACGAGCTTGACACCACTACGACCAACGCGCGCTTGCTGCAAAAGGCCCTGCGGTACCGCCACCGAACGCACGAGGAGCTTCATACGAACAGTGCGCCCGGCGTTGCGGCACGTTTTGGTATCACTTGGCGCAAGGCGGACGTCGCCGCCAAAGCATGAGCGCTCCAATACCGTATTTATTGCGCAATTTAACGCTAATACACGGTTTTTCTATGACAGAGCAAAAAACGTCGTCGCGATTGCTTCATGTGCAATGGCTGGGCGGTGGGCCCAGCACGCACCTTGCCTGACCACCCAACGCATGCGCGTCCATAAGCTATCGAAGAAGACGCCAATGTTTAGAGCCCAGATGCAAACACATCATCGACAAGTATGCAGTTGGATGGGGACTACTAGTACCTCGTAGGATGTGGGTGGAATAGAGACTAGGCATTGGCTATAATTCGGAAATGGAGACCAGGCATTGGTCTAAATTGAAGTAATTCAATCTAACACTCGAAGTTCGTCGAAGTTCGAAATCCGGATCGTCGTATCTTCGACACGAACCCGCCGACCGTTGCGGCCGTTGCATCGGCAGTTGCAGAACTATGGACTGCCGCAGCTCCACAGCAAGCGGCCGACGATGCGCGTGCGAGTGAGCGACCTCAATGGCCGTTCGTGCTTGTCTTTCGTAGTGTGCTGTCCAAGCCACACGCGCACAGCTCGCGCGCACCTGTCGCGTGGGGTGACAATTAAATTCTAGCGGATTTTCGATGAAATTCTAGCGGATTTAAATCTGAGTGAAATTCTAGCGGATTTCGATAATTCGTACCTTCGAGTAAGAATTGTGAAATCTATTGTAATACAAACAAGATATGGATAAAATGCATCCATATATTAAGTGCTCAGTGCCGATTGCGGAATGCGGTGGTCACACTGCAAATATCAAACGGCGCGCATGCTGGATGAACTCCATTGATGTCACTTTGATGCCGAGCTTGTCTGAAGCTTCGACGAGAGACGCCAAGTCCTCGACGCCGAGTTCTTCCTTGCGGCCACCGACGATCGTGACCTCCCACTTGGTAATGGTACAGACGTGGCAATCGGTCACAGTGCCGAGTACGACAGTCTGCCTGCGACGCCCGGTTTCGGGGGTCCCGCTCGCTGGCGGTGACGACTCGGCCAACAGCCCACCCGTGGCATAGCATTGGCTTTCTCATGAGGCGCGACATGGTCGCCGCCTTGCTGAAGACCTTGCCACGTGTCGACTTGGAGAGATAGTGGCCTTCCTCGGCGGGCCTTCCCGGCGTCTTCCGGACTGGGATCAGCAGGGCTCGTTTGGAGCTCGGCGGCATGAGCGTCGTGAGTAGGCGTCAAGAAGGTCAATTATCTGCATTTTATGTTATATAGCAGACACCAATGATGTGATAGCATGTCATGGATATGGTGTCGAGTATCGTGTGTTGGGGCCATCAGCTTGAGCTGCATCAAGGGCGCTTACTGGTGCAAGTAGATATACAGACAGTCAAGGAAGTCATTGCGACCGTCCCAAATGGGTTTGGAGGCTTCGTCAATGAAAGTAGAGTTTGCATAGGCGCAAGCTCATCTCCGAAGTTGTTGGCAGTCTCAGTGATAATGTGCACTATAATCGGAACCCGAGTCTTGTCCCAGACAAGAGCAACGTCGTGCTCGACATGCGCCAAGGACCCGACTGCAGGGTCTCGCAACGTCGCGCCCTTCAGTATCGCCAAGGGCCACGACTACGGGCGGCGCGAGACGCTGCCAAAGATCAGCGACGCTACCTTGCGTGCCATCACAGCTGCTCGTGCGCACCATATTAACCTTCTTGCGCGCCCCCACCACGCGACAGCTCACTACACTTGCTTTTTTGCGGATGGGCCGATCGACGTCGCCGAGGTTTTGCCGGAAGTTACGGACGGATGACGGTTGTATGTGACGTACGTCGGGCCACATGAAGAGTGCGATGAGACGCTCAAGTCCATCCGTGAGCACCACGAGATCGTTGCAGACACCGCTTTTCGGTATCTTCACGTCTGGAAAGGCGTGGGCCATCCGGGCTACGTTGACGTTACTATCGACGACAGCACGGAAATGCGCGATCGCATGGCTGCCGAAACCGACGCGATCGAGCGCGAGGTCGTAATCAACGACGACCAAGACGTCATTGCCCTCAAGGAGTACCTCGGCGACAATGCCGACGCCAATGACGGCGACACAACCCACCGGTTCGCATCGTTTCCTCGTCTCGAATACTCGACTGTCCTCGCCCAAGTGTCTGCTATCAACAAGACAGTCAATGCGTACCTCGATGCTTTTCGCGACATTGTGTGCCCAG